AATTCTTTATCTGATTTTTCATCTACATCAATATCTTTGGGGTCAGTTGCTGGTAAATTATGAGCCTTAGGAGGCATTGTGTTACCTTGTATTCCTGTGTTGGGTTTTATGTATCACTTGGGATAAATGTCTCTTCTACTAATGGGATTATTAATAATTTTTATTTTCTTTCCATATTTTTAAATATTTCTACAATGTATTTATTACTTTATAGTCAGAAAAAAATGTTATTTTAAAAGCTAAAAGCATTTATTGAGGTTATGATTGTTGCACTATGTATATACTGTACCTCAATAAAAAGAATTTTAAGAAACAAGAGGAAGAATCTTCAACATCAAGGACAATTAAGAAATAAACATCTTTGGCGATCATCTCACACTTTGGTTGGGCTTCTTTGTTCACCAAATAATTCTTTTGTGCTAATTAAATTTCTTGGTTGTCTTGTGGCAAATGTGCTTAACACAGCATCTTGCAAATCACATGTATATTCACTTTGGATCCTAAAAAGACACTGTTCAACAATCATACTGTCCCCTCCAAGCAATTAACCTAAATTTGTCATTCAGGTGTGTGTCCTGGTTATTGTTTTTATGAGTCATCAATAACCTGTTGGATAAAAATCCGGTTTGACTATTTGTCTTAGACTTCACAGTGCCCAACTCAACCCTCTGTCTCCTGGCTCACCTTCCATTTTTTTTTTTCCTTGGGAAACCAAACAGCTCCACTTTCTTGCAAAGGTTTCAGGTCAGATAAAGTAGAGTCATGTTCTCAGAATAATAAACGGTCCTGGTCCCAAGCATAACTGGTGAAGAATTAGAAATGTGAAGCTTAAGAACTCTCCTGTTATTGCTGCATTGGGGCTTGATTTTACTTAGAACCACATACCCTTGAGATGTTGTACTCAGTTCTCTTTAGCTCCATTTGGAGTTACAAAACGGTTTGTATCAATCCAGTGGTGCTGTCGTCTGTTGGTGTGGGGGATGCCATGTAACCAGAATAGCAAAGGGAGGTACTTCTGCAATTTGTAATTGTCACCTGGCTGATTTTTTTTTAACCAAAACTTGAGACGACACCCTGTGTCCCTAAGTTTAACAGACTTTTGGTTAACCTTAATTTAACCTTCAGGATTTTGACCACCCCAATTTATCCATTCATTCATTCATCTCTATGAATTTCCTGGGATATGTAAGACCCTACACTATACACTGTGGATGACATGTTGAACAAAACAGACATAGTATCTTCTGTGACAATAATTGGATCTGTGTTTTCAATAGAGATAAGGAAAAAACTTGAAAAATAAACAATCAAAAATTTTAAAAAGCAAAGTAACAATTCCGACCCACTGTGGTAAGAGCTGTAATAAGCCATTAGGATTACAAAGTGCCACGGGCATATCCCACAGAAGCACACAGATGTTGGGACATGCGGGATGTGCCCCAGGGGAAATGATACCTTGGCTTAGACTAGGTACTAGTCTGCTAAAACTGTCACAACAAAGTACCAAAGACTGGGTGACTTAAACAGAAACCTATTTTATTAAACAACAGAAACTTATTTTCTGACAACTCTGGAGGTTGGCAGGCAGAGATCGAGGTGTTGCAGGGTTGGTTTCTTCTGCAGCCTCTGTCCTTGCCTTATCACCCCTCTGCTCCCTGTGTCCTCACATGGTCTTCCCCTGGTGTATTGGTGCCCTGATTTCCTCTTCTTTTTTTTTTCCACGTCAGACGGGTAATGTGCCCATGTCGTAACAAGGTTTAGAGGGAGGCACATCTCACACAATAGTGTGAACACCCAATCATCACGCGTATGAACCCAAGGATCTGATTTCCTCTTCTTGGGTGGACATCAGTCATATTGTATTAAGGTCCACCCTAACGGTCTCATTTTAATTTAATCACCTCTTTTAAGACCCCCACCTCCAAATACAGCCCCACTCTGAGGGGGCAAGGGCTTTGGGGGACACAATTCAGCCATAATAGGCCTAAAGGAGAAAAAAAAAGCACCCGCCAAGCAAATGGAAGCTCAGGGAAGTGTTCCACTATGAGCTAGAGGCAAGGGGAGAGAGCCCCAGAAGAACTTGACAGGAGCCAAATCAGAAAGGGTTTGTTGCTGCATTAAAGAGTGAGAACTGTGTCCTAAGCATTTTAATTTAGAAAACGATATGATCAGATTTGCTTTTGAGAAGGAATATTTGGGATTGTTGTGTGAAGAATGAATTGAAGAGGGGAAAGGCCGAAGGGAAGGCCAAGGGAAGCTCTTGCTTTTATTCAAGGGAGAGAGAACCCTGGCCTGAACCTAGGACATGCAGGACAGACTGAGAGAAGGGCATGGAACTACTTTCTTCAATATCTGGAACGAAAGAAAATGGAAAGGCTTTACCAGTTTCCAGAATTTCCTTCCCAATGATGACTTGTGTTCAATTGCAGGTTGTTCCCAACTGTCCCAAACATGACACGTTTGGGGAGGAAGGGCTTAACTTTTTTAGATTATATAATAATTGTAAATTGTTCTGCTTCCTATTACACGCCACACATGTCAAATGAAGTTAACCTGGTATTTGCAAAAAATATAAAATCATTTCATAAATATTTATTTATCTTCTGTAGCTTCTGCTTATTTATTTTTTTAAAATACCATTGGTTTGGGTACATGAATGTGGCCCAAATTTCTGGCTTATCCAGAAACATTTCTTAAACCTTCTCTACCTTGATTTCCTCATTTTCTGAAAATAAAGTGGCATTATAACTTAGGATCAAAGTTATCATGAAGAATTAAATAAAATATAAATACTGGGAAGAAGAAGAAGAGGAGGAGGAGGGGGAGGAGGAGGAAGAGGAGAATGGGGAGGGGAGGGGGAAGCAGGAGGGAGGGGAAGGGAGGAGGAAGAGCTGATGTAACTAACAAGAGGTGGTGGTTACTGGACCAGGAAAGGAAGAGTGGAGACCACTCTTCCATGTGACTTAGGAAGTGGGTGGAACAAGACACACAACATGGAAGGAGGCCAAGAAGAAGTGTGGAAAAAGATGAGGAGTCTTTCAGTAGAAGACCCTGCAACAGAGAGAGCACCCAACATTGCCTCTTAAGATCACATTTTATATTAAGGAAGGAAAGAAGGAAAAAGTACTTAGATATTTTTTAGCCTGGTTTGGTTATAAGGAGACATTTTATCTCATCAATTTCAAATTAATTCAAAACTTCAAATACATTCTTCTGTCCTGTCTTATTCCATTCCTTCTTTGCATTTTTAGATCCTTCAAGACGCAACTGAGGATGCAAAATGTGAGGATAACTGCTGTAGTTTCAAGATATCTACAAATGAAAATATGACTAGTTTTGATTTTTGCAAATATATATATATATATATATATATATATATATATATATATATATATATATGCTACACACACACATACACACACACACACCACAATCCATACCTTTTCTGAATCAATACATTCATTTTCCATGTAATTTTCACAACTCTGTGGATATTTTTATTTCCATTTTACAGACCAGAAAACCAGTGCTGTGAAAGGTGAAATAACTTGCCCAGGGTTACATGGCCACATAGCACCTTGAACTCAGCCATCTCCAACTACAAAGCCCATGCTATTAACTACAGTGCTATATACCTGCAGCAAGCCCTTTCTTAGGACCAGAAATGAATTTAAACCTATCCCATAAAAATTTTCTTTCTCTGTGTGCATATACTGAGGATTAAAGCCAGGGCCTCATGAATGCTAAACATGGGTTCTTCTTGCCTTTTTCATATCTCTTTTACTCAAAAACAACTAAGTTTCCTTAGGAAAAACATCCAACAAGCTTGAGATCCATTTTTAATACAATGTGAATAATGCTCTGGAGTCGTGCAACCTAGCAGCCCTATAACTGTGCTGGTTTGGATCAAATACCAGGCTGTAGGCTTAAATTCACAATAGTAGACTGGTTACAAATACCTCACTATAAGGACAACTAAATCAAACTGCCAAAGCATTTGCACCAGCCCTTGGCCAGCATGCAGAGAAACCGGAGCCCAGATGATCATCAGGGAACATAATAACCTTGATCTCCTAGCTTCCCAGTGTTTCCTTTATTTTGTAGTTTTAAGAGAAGACCATTTAAACTCGTAGCTAAGTCTTATTTTCCGTCTTTCAATTAACAAGCACTGTGAACCTTAGCTGATTCTGTTTCTTCAACTGTGAAACAGAAAACTTGACCTTGACATGCTCATCCAGTGACCTTCAAGGACTCCAGAAGTCCAAATGGGGTAGCTGTCACTTTCTCCCGGAAGGAAGTTGTGAGGTCTATGAATTTGCTCACATATTTTCTGGGCAGCTGTTGTGTTTTATAATTTAGGAAATACAATACGATGTGCTTGATAAGCAGCAGATATGATAGCTCACAGGTAAGACAACAGCCTCTGCCAAGGAGGAGACTACAATCAGACCCTGAGAAAATGAACAGAAAGCATACATGCAACATGAGTAATAGGAATAGGTAGTGCAAACCCAGAGCTGAGGGGGACCAGAAAAGGCTCTGCTTTTTGAAAGCAGGACTAGATGTAGATTGATGGAGAGAAAGAAGTGTGACATTCTTATCGAGCGGTAGGTATTGTACGTACAAGGGGATGGAAGCAAAAGTGAATCTGAGGCAACATCTTTTTTTTTTTAAGTGTATGAGAATGAGTTTGGCTTTCAGGAGGAACTAGAAAGATGGGGCCCAGCTAGGAGGCATGAGCAATAAGCAAGTCATGGTGTGAAAGATGGATGGGACGGTACCTGTGAAACCAGCAAGGAAGGGCGAATCAAAAGGCCTTGTGAAATCTCAACTCTTAACATGTTTGAGCAATTCCTGGCAAGATTGCCCCTGGGTTTCTGTGCAATTAATTTCAAGTTGGAGGCTTCAGCATCTCAGAAATATTATGCCAAGACTTCCTTTATTCTTTCAATGTAAGGTTTGGGTTGTTAATACTCCATGTCAGTCTTTAGAAGGCCTTGTCTAAAAAATGCAATGTTTCCAGAGAACACTGGATACAAAATGAGAGAAGTTATAAAATTTAATTCTGTCTTTATTTTTCCTCAGGTGGTTGGGTCAGTGCAGGGCAAAAGGAATATCAGAAAGGTTAAAATGGAAATGGCACACACATTCTACAAGCTGTGGAGAAATATCAGCTTGCACCTTTAAAAATGTGTTTATTTTATTTTAATTGACATATAATAATTGTACATATTTCTGGGGATACCTTGCTTTTGATTGACAAAATGATGGTCCTGTTGCCACCATCTGTCCCCTGTTGATTAAATAGCTTCATCTACCTTGGTACAGAATCCTTGGTACAGTTAGGATTGGGAGCAGGGCATTGGGCTAGGACAAACAGTTTAATGACTGGCACATTAATGGTCCCATTGTAGTATATGCTGGATATACCACAACAAAAATCCAGAATCAACCTGTGTCTATCTCAATTTGAATAGATCATATTGCCAACACCTGCCTCAGCATTTGCCATGGATTTCTTTCATGTATTTTCTCTTTGTAGAAATGGCTTCCACTAACAATAGACTGGTCTTCCAGATTTCTACTTTCTCACCTCCCGGCTGCCTCTATAAGCTTGGGACACGAACATTTGAAGCTACTGGGCTTCCAAATTTAATGCACACAAAAATCACCAAGAGAGAGCTTTCTGATTTTTTGAAATGCAGATTCTAGGGCCTGCTCTTAACAGTACTTCTACTTTAATAAACCTGGGATAGGGTTCAGGAATCTGCATTGAACTGGCATCCCAAGTAATTCTGGTGTAGATGGTCCCCAGACCACATTACCAGAGCACTTTTAAGTTCATCCAGCAACATAATTGATTCACGTCAAAGCCAAACTCATAAATGAACATTTATCAAGAAGACTTGAGAGGATTTGCCCAATGTTCACACGTAAGTGTTTGGCCTGTTCTTCCTAGAGCTTAAGCTGACACAGAACCATGCTGGGAGGTGCCTATGACACACTGTGAATGTCTGGAAGAGAGAATTTTCTTCTTAGGAACAGGAGCAACAACGTAGCTTGCATAATTATTACTCCACCCTGGCATTTTTTATTAGTCATGAAAATTGACTGTGCCAGCTTCAGTATTGTCAGGTTGCTTGATGAGTATCCCGGGTGAGTGGATTCCTTGTTCTGCCCTCAAAGAGCAAAAACACAACTCAGTTCACAGACCACACTACTGAGCCAAGGTTTGAATGGCCCCTGAGTGCCCAGAAGTATCTCTGCCTTATTTTCAGAGTTCCCCCCGACCAGTGGCATTATTGATACTACAGATTCCTTTGTCCTGTGGAGAAGAAGAAGGGAAATAATTGCTGCTACACTCATGCCAACCTAAATAACAAACAGAAAGATTCTCCAAAGATTAATAAGGTAGTAGTTTTGCTGTGGGAATGCCATAGTATACTTCATGCATATTCAAGGAGGTTTGGGCAAGAGGGTGTTTTTAAAGGCAAAATGGAAAGAATTACATAAGTTATTTTGAAACAATAATCCTTGGCTATAAGGATCAATAACAAGAGTGGTGTTAGTCAGGGTTAGACAGGCAGTTGTTGGGTAGACCTCCCTGCAGAAGTATTTTCTGGGTGAGGCTGCAGTGGCCTTTGTGCAAGGTTGTGGTTCTGGCAAAGTCTTCTGGGAATAATTATACTTTATCAGGCATAAGCATGAGATCCCACCCTTTGTAGCCTCCCAGCTTTGTTTATTTCTTTGTTTAGGGTTTGACAGAAGTGACTCCATTTTGATTCTGACAGCTTTCACACTTTGAAGGAAGAAAAGCTATGGGTTGTTGACATTTTTACTCTTGAAAGATGTGTTTGATACCTTACTTCTACAGATTTCCCAACTACGTTCCCATACCTTCGTCTTCTGGGACTCATTCATTGTCCGAGGCACAGCCCCAAGACTTCTTTGCTTTAGCTGTGTTACTCCTGTTCTCAGTCTCAGCACATCTGCACAAGCCTCGTTGAATTTAGCCAAATCTGGGACCATAAAAGCAGTTGTGAGTTAAATGACCTCTTGACATCCTAATCCCAGCCTTCCTCCCCTTAGTGTTCTCCACCCCAAACTCACTGCAAGGTTCTAACCTCTAACTGACAGAGGCTCATAACTCGCTTGGGGAGAGTTTCTTGGAGTCTCACTGCCTGCCCATTATTGGCAACCCCAGTGAAAACCAGAGCCCTCTGCAGTCAGAAAAATTCTTTCTTTTTCTTGCCTTGACTACAATCTTTGTTATTTTCTACAATAGGAAGGTTTGTCTTGCAGTTTCAAGAATTTCCCATGATCAAAAAAAGTCAAAACTGTCCAGGAAATTCCAAGTGGCTAAATGCCATGAGCTCAATTATCAAGATGTGATTGGCTGAGAGACATAAGTTCATGTGTATATTATATTTTAAGAAAAATAACTACCAGTTCAATGAAGGAGAATCATTCAACAAGATTTAATGTACAGACCAATCTCTAAATTGTGTGTTTGAATAGGGTAATCAAGAAAAAATTTTAAGTAAATGTAAATATCTGGGAATGACTAGATATATTTTTTGTTAAGCTCTCAACTCTTCTATGGAACTCCTTAACCCAACATTGTTTTCCCACATTATAAAACTATCTCCTCCCTTGTTCAACAACTTCTAAATTGTCAGATTGGCCAACTTTAGAATGTGGAAATGAAGCACCTCCTTGGAGTACGTGGAAGTAGAATTAGATGCCTGTGGTTTAACAAAGTCAGAACAAGTTTTTGAATCAAGGAAACACCTACCGCACATGAAAAATGGTGAAGTGATCACCTACCCAGGGCAATTCATACAAACAAATGAACTTCTCAAATCATATTTACTTACCTCATGCATAAAATTTCACCATCGTATTTCTTCATGGCAAAGCATTTACTTCAGGCAAAATATAAATATCCATGGGATTTTTCATTTGTGTCATGTTGTGAAAGATTTGCAGATTCTTTCCTAAGCATCAATGTTAATTGATGAGCTTGGTGACACCTAAGGGAACTGGGGAAGATAGAAATCTGACAGCCTTCCAACTTTGTCTTCAACAGTCCCCAAATCTATACCTGGTTACAAGCCTAGAATGTAATGCCTTCACCCATAGAAGAACTATATCCGCAATGGCAATGTGTTCTCAGGTGTCCATGAAGGACAAATGTAGGAACTATATGCTATTTCCTTCCACATGCCTTACTCTCGGTCTAGGTTTCCTTGGCAAGAGCCTTGAAATTTGCCTTCTTTCCCCTTTTTCTCTTGGCTTATCAGGCCCTGACAGGGGAGAGGAAAGATACTTAATAGTACTAAGTAAGTAGAGCTACACTTATATAGTTAATTTATTTTTAACAAAGGCATTGATAAAATTCAATACAAGCCAGGCACAGTGGACCTGTCTGTAATCCCAGTGGCTTGGGAGGCTGAGGTAGGAGGATGGCGAGTTCAAAGCCAGCCTCAGCAACAGTGAGGTGATAAGCAATTCAGTGAGACCCTGTCTGTAAATAAAATACAAAATAGGGCTGGGGATGTGGCTCAGTGGTCAACTGCTCCTGAGCTTAATCCCTGGTATCCCCCCAAAAAATTCAATATGAAAGAAAAGATTTTGTTTTGTTTTGTTTTGTATTTTTCAGTAATGTTGGAGCAAGTAGCTATCTGTAAGGAAAAGAAAGAAAAAAAAAACTTGACTTCGCTAGTCCCACATTCCAACCTACACAACATACAGAAATAAATTCAAGATGGGTCATGTATTTAAATGTAAAGGGAAGGCAATTTTGTGTGTGTGTATGTGTATGCACGTGTATGTGTGGTGCTGGGGATTGATTCCAGGGTCTCAAACATGCTAGGTAAGCACTCTACCACTGAGCTAATCCCCAAACTGGTAGATATCTTTAAAAATATGTCATAGGCACTAACTGTAAGAAAAAAAAATGCATTTCATCAAAATTAGATATTTTCACTCATCAAAAAATACTCATTATGGGGCTGGGGTTGTGGCTCAGCAGTAGAGCACTCGTCTCGCATATGTGAGGCCCTGGGTTCAAGCCTCAGCACCACATAAAGATAAATAAAATAAAGGTATCATGTCCACCTACAACTAAAAAAAATGTATTAAAAAATACCCATTATGAAAGTGAAAAGGCAAACCACAGCCTGAAAGAAAACATTATATATACAAACTGTGTTAGTCAGTTTTCTATCACTGTGATAAAACACCTGAAATAATCAACTTAAAAGGAGGAAAGGTTTATTTTGGCTCATGGTTTCTGAGGTTTTAATCTGTGGTCCTTTGGCCTTGTTGCTTTGGGCCATTGGCTGCACAGTGCATCATAGTGGAAACACATGATGGAAGAGGCATATTCACCTCATGGAAGCTAGGAAACAAAGAGAAGAGGAGGTGCCAGGGTTCCAATATCCCCTTCAAGAGCATTCCCATAATAACCTGACTTCCTTCCACTAGACCCTACCTCCTAATGGTCCCACTGCCACCAAGTAACACTGTGGGGTGGAGACCAAGTCTTCAACACATGTGCCTTCAGGGGAACATTCAAGATCTAAACTATAACACCCACACATACTCACAAAACCTGACAAGATCTCATACTAGAATATATACAGAACTTTCCCGTAGTATGGTCACCCCTTGGTATCATCAGGCAATTGGTTCCAGGAACCCTGAGGAGCCAAAATCTGTTGATGCTTATGGTGTAGTATTCGCAGGTGACTTCAGCAACCTCAGCACATCCGTCCACACATTTAAATCATCTCTGGATTCTTGATAATACCTAATATGATACAAATATTATGTAAATAGTTCTCATACTGTATTGTTTATGGAATAAGAACCCCCAAAAGTTTAGTATAAAAGCATTTTTTCTTGAATATTTTCCATCTGTGGTTGGTTGAATCCATGGAAGTGAAACCTGCGGATATGGGGAGACGACTGCATAGAAAAAGGGGGAAGTGGGCCAAAGACTCGATAGTTACTCTGTAAAAGAAAAGATCCAAACAGTCAATAAACACATGAAAGGTGCCAAAACTTATTACTCACCAGGAAAATGCAAATTAAAACCACAGTGAGACACCATATACTCACAAGAATGGCTAAAATCAAAAAGACTGACAATACCAAGCGTTGAGGAGGATGAGACAACAAGAACCCTCAGTATTGTAAATGGAGTTAAAATGGTACGGTCACACTGGGTCGACAGTTTCTAATAAAGTCAAATAAGCACCTTTTCTATATCCCTGGGTTTCCACTGCTGGGTAGATACCAAAGAGAAATGACTTCATAGCAGGTTTATTCAAAATAGCCGAAAAATGGAAATAACCCAAATGCCCATCAGTAGGATATTGACTAAAAATATCATGTTCCCACACTAAAATACTTCATAGTGGGTAAAAAAAAAAATTGTTGATAAATCCCAACAAGAACAAATTGAAAAGGATATGCTGAACATATGAGAGTATGATTCCACTTATGCAACATTTTACAGCAGATGAAAACTAGTGGTTGGGCAGATGGGCGGATCATATTGACTGGGAAGGGTCCTAAAGGGTCTTCCTGGGATGTAGGATATGCACTACAATTTATTACATGGGTACAAACAACTGCCAGAACTTAGGCACATACCACTGACCTGTGCACTTATACTCTGTGCATTTTAACACACAGAAACCATGCTTCAAAATTGAAAAAAGGAACAAAAATTCTCATGCAGAATCCCAAATCCTGTATAACGCAGACAAGAACTAGGAACTACCTGGCACAGAGATCTAGGTAGGCTACCTTCTCCCAGTATGCCTGGCCCACTACAGAGTTGGGCTGAGCTCTGAGGGCTCTCTCTCTCAGTTCCCTTGTCTTCTCTCTGGTTTGCTCCGTGTCATTTCAGACATGAACCTCAGTGCCAACCTTCACCCCACTCAAAAACAACAACAACAAACTCCGAAGCAGTCAGCATGTTCACTCAACTCCCTGCAAGTATGGAGTCACAAGGAAGGGTCTCCCAGAGTGTCCAGTGGCCCTCCTGACACCCACCTAGCTGCACCATCTCTCCTTTCTCTGAATGCAGAACAAAAACACTTTGTTCAAGGTGAGAAGTGAGCCTAACAGAGTCACAGGGTTTCAGTTTCCACCCTGAAAAGCTAATAAGAAAATTAATTTGTAAGAATAGAGAGCTCCCCCTGTGGGAATTCTGGGACATTTTTCGGCTATTTTGAAAAAACCTGCTATGAAGTCATTTCTCTTTGGTATCTACCCAGCAGTGGAAACCGGCAAGCCACTTGGCTCCAGTTTTGAAGCAGAGCCCCTTTGGCTAATTACTGTTTTTCCTTTCCCCATTTCCTCTTACCCTTTTCCTCCAGCCCCAGGGGAGCTCTTTACAGTCCCTGAGGGCAATTGAAAACCACTGCACTGAGCTTTTGCAGAGAAGAGAGCTATAACAACAACAACAACAAAAAGTCTGGGGATATAGCTCAGTGGGAGAGTGCTTGATTAGCATGCAGAAGTCCTGGGTTCTATCCCCAGTAGAAGAAAGGAAGAAAGGAAGGAAGGGGAGGGGGGGAAATTTCTCTAAAATGCAAACATACACCTACCATAACCCAGCCATTCCACTCTTAGGTATTTATCCAAGAAATAAAACCATATAAAGCCTTGTCTTATGAACAGACTATGGTATATCCATTCAACAAAATACTACTCAACACAATAAAGATATGAATTATGAATACACACAACATGGATGAATCTGAAAATTATTATGTCCATTAAAAGTAGCCATAAAAAAGTACAAACAGGGCTGGGGATGTGGCTCATGCGGTAGTGCGCTCTCCTGGCATGCGCGCAGCGGTGGTTTCAATCCTCAGCACCACATAAAAATAAAATAAAGATGTTGTGTTCACTGAAAACTAAAAACTAAATATTAAAAAATTCTCTCTCTCTTTCTCTCTCTCTCTCTCTCTCTCTCTCTCTCTCTCTCTCTAAAAAAAGTACAAATAGTATGATTCTATTTATATGAAATGGACATAGTGACAGAAAGTAGATTAGTGTGCTCAGGGATGGGGAGTGTGGAGAGGTATTGGAGAGGAATTATAAAAGCACATGGAGGAATTTTTAGTAAGGATTGTGGTATTACAAATGTGTATATACACACATACATATAAACATATCAAAAGTTACCAGAGTAAACATTTTTTAAATTAAACATTTTAAATAGGTACAATTTTTTGTGTCAGTTATACCTCAAAAAAGCTGTTAAATTTTTCAAAAATATTTAAAAGAGAAACTCAGAACTGAAAAACAATCAATCATTCTTCAAGCCTAGCTCTGCCACCTGCTCTCTCAACTCATGCTATTTCTCATAACTGTAGGCACTGTTCATGTGTTCCTCTTCCTCTGTGAACTGTGAGATCCTTCTGAACAAGGAGAGGAAAGAAAACATCAACAATGTGTTTACTCAATGATGATGTTTCCTGCATAAGACAGACACCTTCTGGGTTAAGTGGGCATGCAGGAGCTGGCCTAGAAGTCCCCACTTGGGTGGCATTTCAGAAATGTCAACTCTGTACAACTGACCTATAAGCAAACTTGACTCACCAGTTAAAAACAAATTGCCTTTAATATATTCGTTGTTCCTTTTGAACGTCATAGTCAGTAGAGCTGAAATCATTCTCCTAACTCAGAATTTCCCAGGAGGATCCTACCTATGAGACAATGATCAGCACTTACTGGTCTGTTAATTCTCAAATGTGCTTATGCTTTGGAACTTCCCATCAGGTTCACGTGAATCTGCTCGTGGGAGCAGCAGCTCAGGGCTCTGCTCAGGAGGTGCCCAACGTCTAGTGCTGGATGATTGACCAAGCGGTTGTTTGAGTCCCATGGGAGTCTATTTTATGCTCAAAAATCAATCCAGGAGGACAGTTGCCCTTCTGCCCCACAGTACATACGCGGAACCAGACTTTTCTCTCAGCCACATCCTACGTTGCTGGTCATCACCCGTGGTCCTCTGGACAGGCCTGAGAGTACCACATAAGATGAATTCAGTTGACCTGGACTTCTGCCCAGCCTTGCCACTGACTAAATGTGAACTTGAGCAAAACTCTTTGTTCCTCTCTTGGCTTCAGAATCCTCATCTGGGGAAAAAAATAAAAGTTGGGGTAGGGGTTAGTCTTAATCAATTGGTTTACTTTTTTAAAAATGGAGGAACTACTAACCCTTAACTTATTTTTTATATAGAACCACAGTTTATCAAAAAATAAAAATAAAAATAAGAGCCGCTCCAGTTAAAGCAGGGGTCAGGAGCTAGAGCCTTATTTCTCTGTGTCTTCTGCTCTATCATGATCTTTTCCCAGGGGACCCTTGAGACATCTAACTCTCACTTTCCACATTAGATAAGGGTTCTGTTGGATAAACCCATAATCCATTCCAGATGGAGAGTTTGAGTGTGTGCCTTCATTTAATCAATACCTATTGATCATTACCAAAGTACTAGACATTGTGTCAGGCACCAGGGTAAGAATGGCGGAGGGTGGGGGGCGCTGGACTCCTCTCCCTCCCCCCCCCCCACACACACTTAAAGCTTAATGTAGAAGGAAAGTAAATAGGCAGTTATTTATTCATTCCCTAGATATTTATTGATTGTTTGAAATCTGCCAAGTGTTGTTCTAGGCTCAAGGCTCAAGGCTCTGGGCTCTGGGAATATAGCAGTTATTCCAGGCAACAAAGGGTAAAAAAATAACCAAAATAAAAGCACAGTTTGTGAATAGTGTCAGTAACAAAAAGATGACCCAATAAAGAGGTGGACAGTGGAAGAAGTCCTGGTAGCATGTAATATTTCTGCTGAGATATGATGGATAAGAACAATCTAGGGCCTGGAAGCTGCCCCTTCTCAGGGGTCATGATGGGCAGCAAAATGGCGTCTGCCAGCAGGGTGGTTCAGGTAGTCAAGCCACATACACCATTAATAAGATTCCCTGACCGAAGAGACCATCCTAAACCCAGTGTAACAGAAGCTTTCAACAGGGCTTCCATCTCACCTACCTGTAATGTCACAGCATTCTAAGGGGAGTAAATCACCAGATTTGTTGATGCGTCAGGGTCCACCAGACACTGCAGAAATAATAAAAACATTACGTCAGGGGTTGGGGTTGTGGCTCAGTGGTAGAGTGCTTGCCCAGCATGTGTGAGGCAGTGGGTTCAATTCTCAGCACTGCATATAAATAAAGAAAATAAAACCCATTGACAACTAAAAAAAATATTTTTAAAAAATTATCTCTGAAATATAGAAGGAAACCTGTATCTCAAGAAGAAATGGAATTTATCCAACCTGGAGGTCCAGAATAGTCTTTGTGGCTGCTGTTTGTCATCAGACAAAAGAATTGTCTTTACAATAAAGAACTTCCAAGACAAATGAAAAATTGTATATTAACCTTAATAAATATCCTGAAAAAAAAATTACACCTGTAATCCCAGCTGTTCGGGAGACTGAGACAGGAGGATTATGAGTTCAAAGCCAGCCTCAGCAAAGCAAGCACTAAGCAACTCAGTGAGACTCTGACTCTAAATAAAATACAAAATAAGGCTGGGGATGTGGTTCTGTGGTTGAATGCCTCTGAGTTCAATCCCCAGTACAAAAAAAAAAAAAGAAAAAGAAAAAAGAAAGAAAGAATCTGGGAAGGATCACTCCTGACTCAAAGAATATACAGGGCCCAGAGTCTGAGGTGGGGAAGAGTTTGGCCTGCCTCCTTGAATCCAGATGAGGGCAGTGCACAGAGATTGTTTTCAGGGGGAAAGTGTCATGGGACGAGTTTGAGGAATTAGGCAAAGATTGAAAATTCAGGGTCTT